AAAATGAAAAGTTGCACCTCCTGACAAGTACGACTTCACGAGCAAAAAGTTACAGTACCTAACATAATTAAAATGAAAAAAAAAAAGGGGAAAAAATGGGAGCTGTCTCTGCGTACAGAGATAACTCTCTCTTACAGTAGAACTTTAATAGAGTTTTAGTGGATTAAAATTTTACTCTTATTCTATTTTAAAAAATAATAATAAAAGAAAACTTCCATTATATATGCTGTTATGTACATGCTGACTTAAGACAATAATTATAAGTCCATGATTTTCACGTTCCGAGATCTAGTGGCAATCATCCCCCGGTGAGGTTCAGGGTTTCGAGTCACAGGATTGTTAGTTCCCCTTCCCCATAACAAAGACTAAAATGCAACGTGGTTGTTAGATGGTAAGAATCTCTCTTTAATTTTTGTGTATTTGAAGATTAGGGCTTTGATTGAGAATGTTTCTCGGTGATTTAGTTTTTGATTTTTCTTTTTTTTTTTTTTTGTATTTTACTATTCTAAAAATAAATAAAATGTTAATTAATATAAAATATAAAATATATAAAATATATTTTATATAATTTTAAAATATTAAAAAACATATAATTATAATTATAATCCAACACTCATAAATAAAACCTAATCCTGTTGAAAAAATCTTAAAAACATATTTTCATATTGTGTTAATGTCCTTCGAAAAATTAATTTCCTTAAATAATGATTCAAAACTTAAAACGTTTTAAAGATATCTTACAGTATAATATTTATTAATAATAGAACTCACTTAAAATTTTTTTTTTTCTGACAATAATATCACGTTATAGTGTAATCAATTTGGATACATTCAAATACCTTATATTTTGATGTTCTTTTCTTTGAGGACTCGGTCGTAACAGAAATTCGTAATTCATCAGGGAAAGTTGTAGATACCAGGGAAGTTGTGGGTACCTCTACCATTGACACTTTAACACATATACCGCAAAATAGATCGATTAAATCAATATATGTAGTCAAAAAAAGATAAAGTTTAAAGATTAAAATGTGAAATTAAAGGGAATCCCTACTTACAACGGTAAATCCATTTTTGCCAGAACCGAAGCCGACATCCACTCAAGAATACATTAGGTTGACGTGACATTATAAAAATAGCAGAATGCCCCGGTTTTTCTTTCCTTGTAGCAAGGGTCAACTCTGGGTTGCGCTGAATTAGATCCAAGCAAATATCTGGTTTATAAGTAGGAGAAAAAGTTAACCATCATCTACTCCACTACTGTAAAAATATACTTCAAGAAGTCAATTATGATCAACCCAATTAGGGAAAACATTTTAGTACGTACTCAATTGAAAGCAAAATCATACTGTAAAATTAAGAAACTAAAGGCCCTCAGGACTGCTGGGTTGTGTAAGTGGTGTTTTTTTTTTTTTTTTTTGTACCATCTAAAAATATATAAAATATTAATTAATAGTGATAAAAATATATAAAATATTAATTAAGATTAACTACAAATAATAAATTTACATTTTTAAATATGGTAATATAAAAAAATATGTAAAATATTCACAAACAAGTAAAACATGAATTTAAATTTAAATTTTAGAGATTTATTTTTAAATAATGTTACATTTAATTTAAAATTTTTTCCGATTAAGATAAATGCTACAAGTGTGGCTAGTGGAGGTAGTGGGCCGGGCCACTAACTCCTCTCATGCATCTTGGATCCCTAACACACAAGGCACAATAAAATAAAAGAGCTTGAATATACAACTACCTAACATTTTGTTATGCCGACACCACTTCATGAGCTGCATTCCATACTTGCCATTTTGTAATTTGAAGACTTTGGATGGGGTGACAGAATAAAGGTAGTGTGTCATCTCCTTGTGGCCCACATTAGATGCTACAGTTACTGGGATATAGCCAGAATAACCTTCAATTGTAAGTACTTTGCCGTTCTTTTGGACCATGCATCTTGCTAGGTGTGTTATTCCCCTCATTGCAACCAAATAAAGAGCCGTGGCACCATCAACGGTAGTTGTAGTCTTTTTTTCCAGATCTGTTTTCGACATCATTGTTATCAAATTCTCGGCAATCTTATATTTCCCGACCGCTATTGCAAAATGAAGAGCAGTGTAGCCTGGGTCTGATAATATTATTGTATCTAGTGGATAATTGTCATTAACAAAAAACTGCTTAACAGCATTCCAATCTCCTTTGCGAATGCTCTTTCCCAATTCCACAATGCGAGAATCTTCAGTCATCTCATCTTCTTTCCCTTTAAATAATCAAATACTAATTAAAATTATAAATACTTCACAATAAGTTAGTTTAATTGAGACTATGCTCAAATCAATAAAAATTACTTCTATTTGACCCCTCACAATGAATCATTTTAGTTATTTCATCTTCTTTTCCTATCAATAATTAAGATATTATAATCAAATTATAATTCAATCAAAGATACAATTAATTTAATTGAGAATCTTTTTAAATCAATCTTACCATCCGATCCTCCCCCGTCAGTTTCGGATTTCAATTTAGATTGCCCCTCTTGATGTCCTGTGAATAATCAAAATACTAATTAAAATTATAAGTACTTCACAATAAATTAGTTTAATTGAGATTGTTCAAATCAATAAAAATTATCACCATCTGACCCCTCGCAATGAGTCATTTCAGTTGTCTCATCTTCTTCCCCTACCAATAATTAAGATATTATAATCAAATTATAATTCAGTTAAAGATACAATTAATTTAATTGAGAATCCCCTTAAATCAATCTTACCATCCGATCCCCCCACGCCAATTACGGGTTTCGATTTCAATTGCCCCTCTTGATGCATTTTGGCAATTTATTCCAAACAACTTTTGCCGAGCCGACTATGCAGTATGAATTACATGTAGAGCTGCACCATTCTTTTTCCTCTAATTTCCTACATCGTCCAAAGAAGAAACCAAATCAAATATTAATTATTCCCAGATTCAAGGATGCCCCAAAGATCTTGAGCTAATAGATAGTTTTCCATGTACAGTCTCCAATCTTCATAATTAAAATTACAGCAGTACTTGAATTACTATGTATTGCCATTACAAAATTGTCAAAGCATAAAAGTATATATAATATTAATTATAACAGAAAAGCATATCTAACTATAATTTCATATTCTACACCTTGCAGTAGCTATATATAAACAGACTTGATCAGGCAAGCAATCTTCTCTAGAATGGTACACACTTCAGTTAGGTAGAAAGCATGAAAACCAAATGTAAATTGTCAGGCTGTCATA